TCACTAATCCCCGTACTATATATGTTGAAATCTCAATAACACTCGAACGTGATCCCGTATCCCTTCGAAACTTATTTTAAACGATTCAGTTTAATTTATTCTTGGAATACATGTATAAATTCTTTTCAAAAATGCATTGAACAAAAAGATATAGGCACATGAAATACGAAAAGGTCCCTAGGGACCTTCTCACAAATCGAAGGGTTAAAATTAACAACTGAAATGAACAGAAATTGGAATATAAATTAAAAAGTAGAAATTATTATTTTTAATTAAAAAGCCATGACAAGAAATTGATTAGATAGCAATAAAAAAGCGTTGGAAGAAACTGAAACCAAAACCAAATAAAAGTAAACCAAATTTATGGTGTTAAATTGCTTATATACCCCCACACGGTAAATAATTTAAATTCAACGCATTAAACTAATTAAGGAACAAAATATCACAAGCGAAATAAATAAGATTTAGAACAAGATTAAATTGATAAACGGAACTAATTCAAGTGGCACAATGGTGTATGGCTTGGTGTAAATTTGTGAATTTTGGTACAATTAATCAGATTTTTACCAAAATTCGTAAATTCGAACCAAGAACGAACTGAAAGTGGAACATAATTTTAAAACAATAAAATCGCCTTTATTTGTCACGAAAAAATGTTATTTTGTAAAATCCAAAAGAACAACATTTAAACGAAATGGTATTGGAACATGAATCAAAAAAGTGCAACTCTCTATTAATACGAAGAAGTAGAGAAACAGCGGGAAAGTTAACATAGGAAAGCAAAACTGGAACGAAATGAAATTGAAAGAAGATTAGAAAATTTTATTTATTGTCTTGACTTAAAAGTAATACCACAACAACCGCAAACAATTTAAAAGGAAATAAAAATAACCAAAGTGCATACATACATAACTGTGTACATGTGCATTGGCCCAGTCTAATGTACATCCTAGGAAAATTGTCTTTTCTATACTTTCCTTCACTTTTCCAAGCTCTCCTCCTCTTTTCATTAAATTATGATCAAGGTAATTTTTTCTTTAAAAAATGCGTCTAACAAATTTATGGCATTCCATAAAATGATTGTATTTTATCAATTTATCTACTTTGGTTAGCCTTCTCCCGACTTGTACTCCATCCCCTACCGAAGTTAGGAACAAAAAGGTCAATTCAATCATCTTGAAAATTGATAACATCCCATTTACAAATGACAACGAACTGTTCTTCAATCAAGAAAGAGCAAAAAAAGGAGAGCAAATTATATGATAATGAAACGCACGCACAGCACCGTGCCGCACCGGGGCTGGCAATCAAATCGAATGCCCCAAAATATGCCATGAAAAATGCGCACGCAAGACACCAAAAAAAAAAAAGGGAATCAAAGTGGCATTTGGACATGGCAAATGAATAGCCTGAATGCTAATAGCAAGCAGTTGGATTCAAAAGTGAAAGCTGCGCACATAGAAAAAAAGAAGCTCATTCAAAATTTGAAGCACGTGCAACATTATTGAATACAAGCAATTGACCACAGCAATTGAATATGCGAGCAGTCGATAGCGGTTAAAGAAGCAAATCTGAACTGTATGAGTTGCATGCCGCCAGTGGCCAGTTTGTATGCGTGCCTTTTATTTTTTCACTCTCCCTTCGTTGAGCCAACCACCCTTCAATAAACTTTTTTTTTTTCTTTTTTTCACAATTTTTCAATAGATTTTTTGTTTTTTTGCTGCCGCTTATCCTGCAAGGTGTCCTCTTTTTTTGTTTTGCAAATCAGGCAAACGCAGACAATTGATTTGTACGCACTGTGCTGCGCTGGGATGTTGCATGTTTTGTTTGTGCCACAATTGTTTGAATACATACACATAGCTCATCGCTTTTCCGGAGCAGTTTACTGTTTTGACCTCACGAGCATTGTTTGTCGTGTGTCCAGTTGTTTGGTTTTTTTTGCGGCTACGCTCCCCCTTTTTTGCTCCAACTTTACCTTTGTTATCCGCTTTTTGTGGTTTGCCATTGTATTTGCTTGCTATCATTCATTTTACGGAAATTGGCGTTGGAAAACAACAGGAACCAAGTTAAGTGATTTGCTACGTGCTATGTATTTGTGGGCTCTTGGGGCAAACAAGTGCATATTAAGTGCAGCTGGGAAGAGTTGAGATTAGGTGAGTCTGAACCCTCCCTAATTAAATTTAATCACAGAGATAACGCTCGGCTAGTCTGAGAAGCTCCTTTGGACCTCCTACTATCTACTATCGGACAGAAGGCGCATCTTTTCACACAAAACCTGAACTCCACTAACAGAGTAGACGTTTTTTAAGGTCGTATCCTATCTAAATTAGAGCTGGTATTCTGCAACTCAACTTGGTGGCCACTGAAGACTGCAGGCGGAATTTAATCCTCGCCTGAAGCCACTTCGGGTTCTGACCCATAAAGGCATAGAAGGTAATGAGGAGGCGGACTTGCTTGCCTAAAAGGCGGCAACAACGACATCAATAGGCCCCGCGTGCCTCTTTACGGTAGGACCACACACAATCAAAGAAGAGCTGAGGAGAGAAGCGAAAACAAGCGCGGGAACCAAGCCACTGGGCTGCAACAGGCAATGAAGCCATCGGTAGGATACAATAGGAAAATATATGAAGAACTTTTTAGCCTCCCAACGAATTCTGACAGGTATGTATGTATGTATGTATGTATGTATCTTGGCTGTCCTCAACTCGCACAAGAAAAGGGCATACTTAGGCCACCATGGGTCCATTGTGATGCAATATTAGAGACTCTTTATGTCCCTCCTTTTACCTTATAAATGGAACCAATCCATAGCTCTGATGAAGCACACAGAGTTGTAGATATTGTAGATACCAGTTCAGCTAGACATTCAAAAGAAAAAGAACTGGCGTCAATGAGTCCTCGCCAAAGCGTGATAGTGGCATAGGTAATGCTCCACGCTTTCGATCTCCTCATCATAACGGCAGCTACGACAGTAGTCGTTTGACTGCGAACCAGTTCTAGCAGCGTAGGTTCCCATCAGGCAGTTCCCGGTGACAACTCCAATTACATATCGGAGCAGAGGTCGGAGGAGAGTGCGAGACCTAAGCTTATCCAATTTAGACCATATTTGTTTTGCTATCCTGCACGTGGGCTCTATTTGCCCGTTCGATAAAGTTATTCTCCTACCAGAGTTTGCAGATAGCGGTATGCTCTTGTAAAGCTGACGAACTGACAAGGAAAGATAGGACCATCCACAATATTCTGCGAAAGGAAACGGTAGATATAGCAATAGCCACTTTCAATCAGTTTGTTAGAGATCACATAATTCTAATTCATAATTCACTAAGGAACGTCGAAGCACTTTCTGTGGAATCAGAAATTGTTCTGACCTATGTTACATGTAGCACCGAAACGAAAAAGTTACCAAATTGAAAAATAAGTTACCAAATTACCATATTTCATAAATAAAGAAAAAAATTACCAAAGCGGCAACGCTGCCTGCATACCTCAAATAATATCTATATCTGGTCTAAAGGGTTAAATAAAATATACGATACTTTGTTCTTCCTCTCTTTCCCACCTCGGATTTATAAACCAAAAAGAGCGGGTTGAATTTGGTTGGTTCAATCCATGACAACGTACTTTCATCAGTTTAAAACAAACACTACGGAAGTTTATATTTCCCATGGTTACAACTTATGACTGAAGTTGACAAGGGACTGCTCTTAATGGCAGCTGAAGGTCGTTGTTTGATCATTAATTTGCAGCATAAAACAGATGAAAAGCCTTCGTTTACCAAGTATCAATTTTGAGTTTTTTTCTCCCGAAAAGTTCAGTTTTTGCCGATGTTGCGGAGAGAGGAAGTTAGGAAAGTTTTTTTGGTATCGGTCCAAATCGACCAACGATTGGGGTATCAAATAAGAAGAAAAAGTGCGGTAAAGTTTTAGAAAACCAAGATATTGGTTTACACTTTTCGGTATCGGCACTCGGAGTCATAATATTTGAGCACGGAAAAATAGTAGCTTTCTAGTAATGTACTTGGAACGCTTTCTTTGCTATAATTTCCCAACGTACTATGTCAAGTTTTTTAAATCTTTTTATTTTTCCCATTACTCTTTTCGTTATTTTTAACAACTTCAAATTAAGTGTATCAAAAAAAAAAATAACCAAAGAAGAGCACTAGCGGATTTCATTGCTACCATCTACTTGCTTCGAAATTTATTTCATCACTTTTACTGCATTTTCCTGTATTTCAACGGTAAATTCCCTGCGATTGCATTGCAGTGTCATAAACAAAAAAATTACTAACAAATTACCAAGTGTTAAAAATATGGGATGCATACTTTGTACTTATACGAGTGTGTACTAGTAAGGGGAAAATAATTTTTTTTGTTTTTTGGTGTCTGCAGTAATATGAAAGAATAAATCGTAGACTTTTACGTGTCTAATGTTCATGTGTACATATGTACATTAGGGTGGCCCAAAATTCATAGGAAAACCATCTGTTATGATTTTTCCTGCTGCCGCCCCCAGAACTGAAGAATACCAAAAATAAGGACATACGTATATTTTTATTTTGAAATCGATTAATATTTACCCGTGCCGCCGGGGCTTTGAAGTTTCCAATCTATTTTACAAGGGGAAAATGAATTTTTTGGTAAAATTTCCATAAAATCGTTAAAAATAATTATTTTTTGATCGACTAAGAGCATTTCCCTTTAGAAGTCTTCAAAGACTAACACTATGGCGATTATTTAACTTAAAACTTTTACAAAATGAGTGTGTTTTAATAACCGATAAACCTATCTGTTATATAAAAAAAATTTGTTATTTTATGTTTTCATAACCACATTATGCACGAACAGTTGAATAGATATGTTTATTTGTTTTTTTCGCTTTCATAGGGTTGCCAGATATTTGAAATTTTAAAATTATTTGAAGGTCAATAAAGTAATTAAGTTTCTTCATCAAAACTAAAACCGTTTGGAAAGATGCAAAATATCTTTGAACCGCGTTGCCACCTTATTAAAAAGATACAACAACGGTTATTAAAAATTTAAGTTTATTTAAAACCACAATATGGGTATCAAATGGAGGGTTTCTGCACTCTCAGCACAATTTTTGAAAATACATACTTTAATTCCCACATATATTTCTGGATAGGGTTGCCATTTATCTATAATACATTTTTTTAATCATGCTACCTGCTAATTACCTCATCTTAGTTAGCAGATAGGTGGCAACCCTATTTAATAACATGTTAGTCCAGAGCTTATGCGTCCACCTTTCGTATGATACCGATATTGTGGTATTAAATAAGCTTGAATTTTTAATAGTCATTGTTCTGTTTTTTTAGAAAGGTGGCAACCCAGTTCCCAAATATTTTTAAATACCTTCAAAAGCTTTTAATTTTGATGAAGAAACTTAAATATTTTATTGACCTTTAAAAAATCTTAAATTTTCAAATATGTGGGCACCCTAATGTAAATATATAATCGCACAGCAAAGAAAGTAATTGCATAGCTACCCAGTCGGAAAAAATAGGAGGTCTTCTGGGACGACATATTTCGAATCTTTTGAGGCGATAGGGCTTCCGTGTTCGATGTTTTCACTTCGTTTCGCGCATGGAATGGCTAAAGTTTCAAGTTGTTTCGATACAGATTACCTAATGAAGGGAAAATTTATATGAATAATAAATGACACAGTGCACATTCAACTTTGCTCCAGACATGCACCGACAAGTCTACTTCGATTGTTTTTGTCTGATTTAACTCTTATTGCCGGGAAAGCCACCTTTTTGTTTGCTTTCGAATGGCAGTGCTATTAAAAGATCTTCAAATACAGCGTTCCACAGAGAATATTACTAGGAAAAATCCGTATGTGAGTATTTGTGTATCTGTAAAATTCTTATTATATTAACTGCATTTATCAATTTTAAAGCTAACTCGCGCCTTAGTTATCACTTTAAAGACACACAGCGCAACATATATTTAGTTCCGCATAAATAAATAAAAAATAAATTTTGTTGAATGGGTACATAAATATTTACATAGTTACAAAGTGAGTGCCATTGCACCTACGCATAAACAATGTATGTATAGTCAGCGCCTTTAACCGTCAGGATGTTTGCCGATTTCGTTTTTTTTTAATTAAACACAAATGAATCACTATATTTTTTAGATTTTAATTTACTTGATTTGCGTTACACCCGCTGCACTGCGTTTTTCGCATTTCCACATTTCAACACTCTAAGTGAAACTGATTTACGTATGACACTCATAGCAACACATGTATGTATGTTTGTACAAGTAAGAAATTTAAATTGAATAGTCAATGTATGTAAGTGCAATGTGCGTAGTAATGTATGGCATTAGGGTGGTCAATAAAGCTATGCAAATCTCAATTTTGTGAATTAATCGTAGAAAATTAAAATCCAAAAACGATCGTTTAAGTTTTTTCGAAAAGTGTGTTGCACTTGAAAAAAAACCAAGACTCTTATATAGTCGTCTTGACTATGGATATCATGAGCTAACAAAATATCGCAAAAACAATTTTTGATCTAGACAAAGGGTTTAGCATAGAAACCTTACATTAAGATACTTTAAGTACCACCCTATGATACACATATTTATGTATATATGTAAATTAGGCTGGGTCCTAAAGAAACAAGTTGACGCTCTCTCAAACAAATCGTACGATTTGCTTTCTTTGGTGGATGCTACTCACATATTTTGATTCAAATCGATGTGTTTTTGTAAAAAAAAATAAATAAATAAAAATTTGTAATATTATAAATAAAAAATATAAATGTAAAATTTCAATCAAGGTTTTGATAAAACACGCAGAATCTTTAATTTTTGCAACTTTTACGGAAATTTTTGCAGCTTTTTAATAAACCTGTAAACCCCGCAATTTCTATAATGATTTTCGTTTCACAACCCAGAATTTTCGTTGAAAATTTTGACATAAATCTTGTGGGCTAAGTGGATCATTTTTTTTTAATTTAATAAATTAAGGAAATGTCCATTAATTTGTTCCTTAAAAAATTTAAATTGTATGAGAAATCGCGGATTTATTCACATTTTTGCAAAACTCTATCGAGCTGCATCAAACACTGGATTATTTAAAACATACATATTAGTAGAATTTTTGATAGAGCATGCACCTACGCAAGGCTCTTATTTATGTCTATATTTTTCCAATCTTTCAGGCCGGTTACTGAGAAAAAAGCTTTCCCATATATGCAGGTAATGCTTTTATGAAAAGCCGATTTGAAGGTTGATTTCAGCGCTGTTCAGCCCATGAATAACACCAATATTTTGATGAGACTTATAAAATTTACCAAGTTTTATTATTCGTTTGGGGTAGTAGAAGCGTTTTTCATTTCATGGGGCGTGGAATAGTCTAATGTCTCTATTAGAGTGGATCACGAAAATAGTTAAGAACTCTGCCTTTCAGCTAAGTTTAAACCGTCGCTCAGAAACTCCACGAATAAGAGTTATAAATCACTTGTCTATTTTACCCTTTGAGAAATGCCTATGAGTTTTGTCGAGAGTCCTCTTTCTTAGGATCTCTACCGTGTAATCTTTAGATGGACCACTTATGCAAACACCAAGGGCCATACCGGATTCTGATTGGACATTGCGGGTTAAGGTACAATGCATGTAAAATGGAACTCTGTTAGGAAACGAACTGCAGGTTTTGCAGGCAGGCGGAGAAAACTCCAGAGCGTGCTAGCATTACATACAAGTTGAAGAACGAATATCGTGCTTAACTTTGCAAATAGCTTAAAGATGGGATGATATCTTGAGCGGTCGCACAATATGACATAATAATAAAAAAGTAGCCAGCTAAAAAAATCATTATATATGTATGGGATGTTAATGCGATGCGCAGTCTTTAAAATTATATATTAAATTAATTAAAATAATTTGAAATCTAAATATCAATAAAAAAGTTATGAATTGATTACGTTTTTGGCTGTTTTTGAGGCGGAACTTTTTATAATCTTTAAGTCTGCTTAAAGTCAACTGTAAAACTGCCTACATAAACAAATTACATAGTCTTTTGATGCATTTTGTAATGAACTTCCATCATCCTTTGTCAACTTTGGTTCAAAGACAAATCAGTGTCGGCATTGTGCCATCTTCAGTGTCATTTTTCATTCTGAATAGTTCGTGTTTCCCCTGATTTTGTATAAGTATATGTATGCTCATGTCATTCTGAGGCTTTAACTAACTTTAAATCAGGTACTCCTTGTTATGTGGGTCCAGTTTTAATGAGTTCATTTCAGAGTCCGAAATGAGGTGGATTCCCTTCTTGAGAAGGTCGACTTTCGTACATCAAATGAGCCTCTATATTAGTCATATACGGCTCGCTTTGGACTCTCTTGAAACAAGTTTTGGCCTCATACTTTAGGTTGTTCTTTTAGTCTTAAAGAATATTGACTTTTATTGAACGCACTTTATTTGCCAAGGCATTCAGCAAAATTTTTTTTAAATACTATGCAGACATACATATGAATTTAATAGCTGTTCTCTTTTTGTTTTTCAAAGGCGGATTCACCGTTCGCGTCCGGACACTTTTCGTTAGTAATTTTACACATTCCTATCCCACTTTGTCTCACTGAGAGCGCGACAAAAATGTACTCAACACTCTTTGTTCGAATCAAATTGATTTTGATTTTCTGTTCGAACGACTTGATGATTCGGGTTGCCGCGTCCTCTTTTAGTAGATATGAACGTTTGCAGCGAATTGCATGTGTTTTTTTTCTGTATGTTGTATGAACTATTATCCAACACTTGAGTAAAATTTTGAAAGCCTTATAGGCGGCATACACCATGCGTCTGACCGGTGAGTAGGTTTGGATGTGTTTGTATAAATATGTGTTAGTTACAACAATATGACTCCCGGCATGACTCTGAATTATTCGACTGTGTGTAGTCGCAGGCGAGTCAAAACGTACACAAATGACTCGCGAATCAAACGCACCGTGTATGCCGCCTGTTAGATAACTGACCTTAAATAAATAAACCAGCACTCTTCTGAATTTATGTTACCCTGTCGGAGGCATCAAAATTAAAAATAAAACTTTTTTTTCTTTGAGGAACGATCCGGCTTAATGTATATACATGATGCATAGATTAAATATATATGTACGAAAGTAATCTATGTATGTAGGATTCTATTATCGCCAATGCTTTTTTTCTGATTTCTATCTTGGTTTTGCGTGAATTATAGTTCATATTTATATGCAAGCAGCAAAAGTAAAAGCGACGTCTGAAGAAAAAAACTGAGATAAGAATAATTTCTAACTAATCAGAATTTATCCAAGTTGCATAACATTTTAAAGAATTTCTATTAAAACTTTATGCATACATAAATGCATTCACACTTAAGGGCATAAGTACATACATACATATGTATGTATGTAAGTTAGGGTGGTCCAAAAATGCATGTGGAAAAAGAAAATATGGAATTTTTATGCTCTCACCCTCTAGGATTCTTCTATACCGAAAGTATATACCCCTATTTTTTTATTTTGGAATCAAAAAATTTTTAGAGGTCGCTAAAAGTTTTCCAAGTATTTTATATGGCCAAAAACAACTTTTCATAGAAATGGTATAGAATTCTTAAAAGTCAATATTTTTCGATCGGAAAGCTCTGTTTATCTGCAGAAGATTCCCAATACCAATACCAAATTGTTTACTACTAACTATGTATAACTATAATTTATAGGTCCGCCGAAAACGAAAATATTGACTTTCAAGAATTCTGTACTGTTTGTACGAAAAATTTATTTTTTACCATATAAAATACATGGAAGCTTTGAACGCTTTGAGCGACCTCTAAATATTTTTTGATTTTAAAATAAAACTTTTTTCGATATAGAACAATTGTAAGGGGTGGAAGCATTAAAATTCCGATTTTACTCTTTTTGGACCACCCTAATGTACATATGCATTTAATTATATACAATTTCAATAGAATAGTTAATTTCATTGAATTAGTTGTGATTATGGAATATTGATACATATTTGTACAAATATATACATACATACATACATACTCGTATGTGCATTTTACAAACAAACATACATACGCCTCTGTTAGTAGGCGTAAATTGAGCGGAATGTCGGCAAAACAACAGTTACTGTCAAAGAAAGTACTATGTGTCATTGCATCAATTGGTTCGTTCACAGCTTGTTAAAAAATGTGTTACAAAATGCTTGCGCGGCAAACTAAATGAGAAGATCAATTATATAGTATACGAGTATATTATCCATTTTGTGGTTGCGAAACCGCATGGATCGCTCAACTAACATATAATTCAACAGCATTGTGCTCGTTCTACCTAAAACATCACTGCCGCAAATGCAATGATTCTCTCACCGCTCTCTTAAGAATCTAAAATCTACAGGTTCTTGAGTTGCTTACGGTAAGTTAAATTTTAAATAACCGGTCGACTGTCCACCACTAGGTTGAAATCGTTAGGCTACGAGCTGAAAAACGTAATGAATAACTCATTGAGAGGGGAGACCAGTATGTTTCATGTGTTTATATAAAAAAAATATTTATTCGAAAAAAAAGTTCTGTTACCACCTATGCATGGTTGTAAGCCCTGCAGAGTCCGCAAAAAACTCCGCAAGCATTGCCCTGGGTATTTGGGTTAAGTTGATCTACTTGGAGCAAGCGGTTAGCTATGTGTATAAACGTTTACTGAAAGATTCTCCCAGTTTCTGGTTGTGCGGTTGGTTGGGAACTCGTTACTTAAAAGCGCACACCAATGAAAAGCCAAATTTTGCCTCGGTTGAGACCTACTTCTTTTGATGACGACCCCGGCCAACTTTGAAATGATTTTGAATTGCGGAGGGTATACAACTGGAATATGCGGGCCTTTAACGGGATAGGTACCCTTGTCTCGCTGGTTGATGTACTAGCGGAGAATAAGGTTGACATCGCCGCTCTCCAACGCAGTAGGCGGGGCAAGGTGGTTATAACTTGGGACATTGCGACTATATTACGGCTACCATTTAAGTTAGCCCTAATTCAATGTTGAGTTTGTGGTAAGAGAGAGGCTTTGTCACCAAGTGCTGTAATTGCTGTTGTTGCTTTTGTAACTACACTCTTAAACTCCACCTAAATCGGTTAGTCCCTCAATCGTTGTCGTCAAGCACAACTAACGGTAGGCCCAAGAAAAGTGCTGTTCCGACGTGGTCGGACCCAAGGGATATGAAAGTGG